TATATATATATATATGTATATATGTACATATATGTATATATATATATATGTATTTATATATATGTGTATATATATATATACACACACACACATATATACATGCGTATACATTTGCATATGTGCATATACATATAGATACACAAGTGTCCGGGGTGTTGCAGATTAAGGCTCTATTTTAACTAAATGGGGAGTGGTGGCGCAGAGGTTAGTGAAGGTTGGCCTGTGGTAGGAAGATCGCCAGTTCTACTCCTGGTACCGACAACATCAAAAATGTGTGTGGGATAGGTGAAGCACCCATACCTGCCTCCACCCTCATTTGCCCCATTCTGGACCCTTGAGCAAGGCCCTTAACCCCCACCATCTACTCCTCCGGGTGCCCTAGACAGCAGCTCTCTGCTCCACACAGAGAGCTGTGGTAGCTCGGTGGTCTGTGGTTGTGTCAGGAAGGGCATCCGGCGTAAAAATAACTGCCAAGTCTTAGTGCAACTTAATTTGCTGTGGTGACTCCTGAAGACTGGAGCGGCTGAAATAATTATTTTTTTTAACTAAACGGGGAAGAGGGGCAGCACGGTGGCACAACTGGTAGAGCTGCTGCCTCTCAGCGAGCAGGTCCTCGGTTCAAACCCCGGTCCAGGGGCCTTCTGGGTGGAGTTTGCATGTTCTCTCCATGCATGCGTGGGTTTTCTCCGGGTGCTCCGGTTTCCTTCCACAGACCAAAAACATGCATGTTAGACTGATTGGTAACTCTAAATTGTCCCTAGGTGTGAGTGAGAGAGTGAATGGTTGTTTGTCTCGTTTGTCTCTATGTGGCCCTGTGATGGACTTGCGACCCGTCCAGGGTGTCCCCCGCCCCTCGCACAGTGATTGTTGGACATGGGCACCGGCGACCCCCGTGACCCAAAATGGAATAAGTGGGTAAAGAAAATGGATGGATGGATGGATGGATACACGGGGAAGAGATGAACAGTCAGATGGCTTGATGGACAAAGGACTTCCTGAATCTGTCCATGGAGCAGGACTGGGAAAGCAATACCGGTAATAATTATAGAAATAAAGATAAAAAGACTTGATCTTCACCAACTTTTAGAGTTATTTTTTTACATACAAGAATCAGCCCAGGTTCCCTCCCTCACCTGCCTCCCAGCTTGCGTTAAGGAGTGGCTTCCTGTTGTGTTTTGGGGGGCTTGGTTCAACTGACCCCAGAAGCCAGGGGCTCCATCACAAGGAGCTTGAAGCCTGGACCTGGAAGGGTGCACTAGTTTGTTTTCATTATTCATCTATTCTTTGTGATTCAAGACAGTTTTTCTACGGCCATAGCTTAAGAATGTTAAACACTTTCTCCAGGTTTGGGGTGAGTCCTTGCCTCAAGAGGAGGAGTTTCTGTGTCTGGTAGCCTTGTTTGTAATGATGTATGATGGAGCTGGAGCTAGATCGAGCTACAGTTTGACATGGCATCAGCTGAGTCACTATCAACACATACTCAACGCACTGACACGTCTCATAAGATCACACATGAGGTCTCTCAAATCATTTGCAAGGGCTGACCAAATCAACTTTGTATTCCTCATCTTAACATGAGCTAAAACGCTAGAATAAAGGGCAAGGAATATGCATTGTTTTTTTTTAATGCTAGGTTTTTAATTATTTATCTTTTGAAATGTATAATTTTTGAAGTTTTACTCAATCATGTACCAACAAAGTGAAAATCATGGACATTATTTGGAAATTATTCAGCTGTAAACTTTGTGTTTAGTATTAAATTTAATCATTTCTGAACGTTTGAGTGGTCCTCTTTGATCCAACTCTGGTAACCAGCTGCCCAACATCCCCCTCCCTCATATCACAGACTACAGCATTATGAACATCATTGTAAAGTGTGGGTTAATAATTTAATTAGTAAAAAATATGTAAATAATAATAATAATTCCACAACATTTCACAGCACAAGTCCTTTTAGTGTCCAATTCTGCCATTCAGTCTGTGTTTTCTGCATCATGGAAATCACAAAGTCCTATGGCTGTTGTTCTCTACTCCTGCATTATTATCACACGCATGCACACACACACACACACACACACACACACGCATGCACACACACACACAGCCTTTGTGCACATGCTCTGAACTGTCAGGACACATCCTGAACTGACAGGTGAACAAAATGGTTTGGATTTTTAATCTAAACCGTTCCATATCTACAATCTGTTAAATCATAGCATAAACCTAGTTTTTCACACAGCTAAACCATTTTGGCTTTGTTTTTCTTAAATATCTAAGAATATGTTGAAATGTGATGTTTCCATACACCTGAGGTGAGATTTAAATAAATGTAGAAGCTGGTAAAAATCAGATTTTTATGTTGTGCTGTAAATTCCTGGAATTCAAAGAGGGTGGGCTTTCTTTTGTCCGTTCCTGTACTTGAGAATGTCACCTTCTTGTAAAATATTGTTTATGTGAATTATGCTCCTGAGATGTACATAGGCAGTTTTCATGCATCCAATAATTAGATCATAAGCTGCTCTAAAGTACAAAGTAGGTCTGAGGACAATTTATTGATGTATAGTATGTGCATAAAAGACTTTTAGAGCTCTTGTGTCTTAATCGTTCATCTCTATTAAAAATACTACTACTACTACTACTACTACTACTACTACTACTATTACTACTACAAATAATAATAATAATAATATGGGGGTCGCCTGTTGAAAATTTTCTTGTCTTCATTTTTAATTTGTGCATTTCATAGAAGTGTTAAGTTTGCAAAAACTGTTCAATATGGAGACGAGAACACTGGGTTATTCTGGTTCTTCTTCTTGTTTTACTGGCTCCTTTTCCATCCTGTCTGGAGATGTTGTAGGCAGCCATGCTCCTCTTTACACCAGGCCCCAGCTTCTAACACTTGATGACAAAGCAAGACATGGTATTGCCTTGGAAGGATATAAAGCGTTTGCATGAAGTGCGCTTCCTTATACATTTTACTCACTGCTAGGATTAAATTTGTGTTTGTTTCAAAGAATACTCAAAGCAATACCACAGTTCCGTTCTGTATCTACTGTAACCACCCAACTCAAAAAACACCACTTGAATTTAGATCAGGGACGCCTTTCTTCTCTAAAATACTTGTCTTGGTATCTCTTTCATTCTACAAGAGGGCATTAAAGTCTGAAGAGGAAGGAGATCTCTACTCCTTCTGTCCAATGAATACTTTCTACAAGTTTAACTAAAATCCACCCAGTGGTTCAGAAGATATTTAGCTGACACACACTGCACACCTATTCTGTAGAAACATGCAAAAATACCATTAATGTTTGTATTTTAGGGACACAAGGGGAAGAAACAAAATGAAGGCAGATTGTTTCAATGTGCTTACAAGACAGGATGAACTTTAAAACCTCACTGACCTGAGCGATTTAGACTAGAATCCAACTGTTCCAGGCATTAGCTATTGTAGGGGGACTATGGCACCCCTGAGTGACCAGTTCATCAATTTAGCAAGAAGTGTTAAGACAATGGAGACAATTGGAGATTATAAAAAGATCTGCAATAGTATAGTTTGCTTAGAGTCCCTATGCAGCTTACTGTGATCTCATTAAAGAAGCTGCGCCATGTGGACTGGCAGGGATGAGGTCGCCCTGGCTGTGTGAACAGATTAAGACCTAGAGAGAAGAGACAGACTCACACACACAGAAGAAAAAAGAGAAAGGAAACGCAACAGAGAGACCGTCTAAGCTGCTAGCAGAAACTACAACAATCAAGTTGTAGAAA